TGGTCTGAGTGATGCTTGAAGATATATTGTTAAAACAGAGCAAAAGTGCCTGCAATAATATAAATCAAATCCAGGTTCAGCAATCCAAGGTGACAGAATGCAACTAACAGCAGCATTTTTTTTTTGCAGTGATGTGAGCGACAGGATGGCATTTAAACTATGCCCGTCTTCTGCTTCTGGCAGCGTTACAGCACTTATAACACCATGATGAAACTACAAACGCACATAATGTGATAAATACCATTAAGTGGCTCTGAAAAGTGATTCCTGGTTATCTCCTGTGGAGAAGCATAAACAGGATCATTTCAGCTGCCATGCTGGGGATGCAGCGGAGGAAACTTGCCAAGCTTTCTAATGTCGAGGAGCAAATAGCACTTCTGATAACACCTATCCTGAGCCAAAGCTGTTGTGCTGCAGCTGGAGGAGCAGGGAGGGAGGGAGGGAGGGAGGGAGGGAGGGATATATATATATATATATATATATATATATATATATAAATAATTGTAGTGCCACTGAATTGCCTTTCTGCCAATTAGTTGCTCTTTACATTATCCCCAGTCTCTCCACAATGAGTTATTTAAAAATGGAACATTTATTAAAAATCTGAAAGTTTGTTCCTCTTGTTTAGGTTATGTGGTTCATTCCGCTCATGGGGCCACACTGAATAAAAGAAGTCATGTTTTTGAAAGTGCATTTTGTTGTGAGGGAAACAGCAGGACTGCTTTCACCACCAAGCTTTTTTTGGTGAAGGTGATGGCAGGCTTTGGTTCCTGATGGACTATGACAAGAACAAGACCAGCCAAGGAGGAGTGCTGGGGTTCCCTTGAGGACTCCTCATGAGGAATTCTCATGCTCTGGGCTCCACCATGGCTGCCCCATAAAGTCGACTACTGAGGCATCGCACATCAACTGCCCCAGGAAATGTCTGGGATATGACCAAACTGAAGTTTCTTCATCTGCTCTGTGGAGAATCTTAATGTATTGACTATATAACCATGCTTTCTAAAATGCTGGGGCTTCTTCTACCCACACCGTAATGGCATCCAACACTTTCCAAGCTTACCTTTGTTACCATTAAGTATATGCCTCTTTGTGCACCTTTTTTCAGCCACCTGCTATGGTTCACTGACCTATGATCCCGCACACTCCGGGGCCCCTTTCCTGCTAACCAGGCTTCCTTGTGTCTGAACGAGGTCAATCTTCATATCTTTTCTATTCTCCGTAGTTGGTTCCAAGTGGCAAACACACACATTCTACAATGACATTTAAAAAGATGAACACAAATGTGCTTCTTTTAAAGAACTGCTCTCCTAGATAGCTTTCCATGGCTGTCTAATGGAAGAGCTGGACCTGACACTGCATGTGAATCAGTTGTACTACCCATGGTGGGTTAACGAGTGATCCTGGCATTATCAGTGAAGGATAGTTTATAAGTCTTATAAAGTTCCCCAGTTGTTCATGCTTGTTCTAGGATTTAATTCACCCATGATGGCTAATTGTGTTGTCAGACACCAAATAAGCCATGGGCAACCCAAACAACAAGAGAGACCCTGGGCAAGAACGACAGAAAGGCTTGCTGCTCTGGCCAAGGGGTTAGTGGGCAATCACCTTTCCCAGTCAGCCCCAGATGCCAAAGCGGTATTGGGACTGGTCTCGGGAGTATGGTGGAAAACACAATTTGTAGCAGAATCTTTGGGGGCTTTTTTTTGGGAGGGGGTACCACTAGGTATCCTTAGGAATGACCCTCCTAGATGTTCCCCAAAAGGGTTGCAGATGTAGCCTTAATGATGGCTTTCACAATTTTAGATAGATAGATAGATAGATAGATAGATGTCAAGCCATTGCTAGCATGAAATGGCTCACAGTGGACAACTTGGTGCTTCTGCAGTTTCCCTTAGGATTGGGGGAGGGAGAAGGACTAGGGAGCAGGGATGTCCAGGAGGGACTGGACTCCCTGCTGTACCCGATGATCTGTCAGACACAGGGGAATTTGCCTGCAGGCCATGGGTAAAATTCCCAGCGGGGTTACTGTGTCATGTGAATCCACCCATTATATTGACTCCTGCCCCCAGCCCATCTCTTTTTAAGGAAGCCAGACAAGGCAGATTGCATCAGAGCAAAACAAAGGCAGGTGCAGAGAAGCTCTGTTTCTCTTCTCTCATCCATTCCACCTCCACCAAAATTATCCTTTTCAATCCAGTTTTCACCTGCAAGGAAAAATGTTCAGGAAGACTGCATTTTTTTTCCAATGAGGTAGGGGGAGTTGGCAAATTTCCCCTTTTTGTAAAAAAGGGTGGCACTGATTTTCAGATGAGGATGGTGAGACATGGGAAATGGCACAGAGATGGCAGAAGAACCAAAACTTAACTCATGGCCGCTGTCTCCAGGGTTTCAGGTAGACTCTGGAAGCCAGCAGCGTCTGGAAGGGGTTTGTTTGAAAGAGGGAAGGGGGGGAGCTAGTCCCAACTACAAGATCACATTTGTAAGACAGTAGAGACTTGAGGAGAGAAGACTGGCGGGGGGGGGGGCATGATATCCCTCAAAGTACCTCAAAGGCTGTCACAAAGAGGAAGGTCAGGATCTCTTCTTGCTGATACCAGAGTGTAGGACACAAAATAATCAGTTCAAGTTGTGACAACCCAGAATCAGGCTGGACATCAGGAAAAGCTTCCTCACGGTCAGAGCAATACAACAGTGGAAGCAGCTGCCTAGAGAGGTTCTGGGTGCTCCCACAGAGGAGACATTAAAAAAAAAAAACCTGGACAGCCATCTGAGTGGGATGGTGTAATGTGGTGTCCTGCAACAGCAGGGGGTTGGACTCGATGGCCTTCATGGCCCCTTCCAGCTCTACTGTTCTATGATTCTATGACTGCAGTGTCTTCATTAGCATCTACCCCATCATGGTAAATTTATTTTTCACGTCTGCCATGATGGCACTCCCTCGGAAAGAGCTCCAGTGCAGATCCCCCCAGGTCTATGCATGTCTGCAAATGATCTGGAGGCAGTGTTGGTTTTCCTATGAGCCACATGGCTCAGGCAGATGTTCAGAAAAGGTGGTGGATCATGTCCACACACACATATCATCACCACCACTCCCATGACCACCACCACAGCACTGCTGGTTGCTTCTGAAGCAGCAATGTCTCCTTGGCGGGCAGCATGTGCTGCCACAACCTACTGCGATGCCGTGAAACACTGTGGCGGGGGGCAGCCGGGGAAGCCCTCTGGAGTGCCATCGCACAGCTTACTCCCATGGGTGCTTCCTCAGAGGAATGCACTGTGGATGAAGGAAGTGCACTGCCATTTTGCTGCAGTAACAGTAAATATCTAGTTCATCAGGGTGAAAGGTTCCTTTTGCATTTATTTTCTATTTTGAGGGAATTGCAAATTTAGGGGATGATGGATAGGTACAGACATCGCCTGTGGCACAAATTAGCAGTGGCCATTTTCTGCTCTCAGAACTTTACCAGCTCATTCTGCTACCTGTGTAGGCCAGGCCTGAGACTCATTGCTTAGTGCCCACCAGATTTCAGACTTCAGCTGTAAACAAACGCAGCCAGCATGACTAATAGTCAGAAATTCTGGGAACTATAGACCAAAGCATCTAGAGGGCTCCAGGTCTGAGAAGAGTTCCTTAGGTTAAACTAAAGATGGGAGGATTGGAGAACTTCATTCTCTGGCTTAACAAAGAATGGCATATTTCTGATGCTCTGAATACATAAAGATGTCCAGCCATATTTTTAATGGATTTATTTTCCAGTGTGCATTTCAGTTCTGTAAGAAACCTGATGTCAGAGTCTGTGACATCAGTTTCTTGGTTTACTGAAAATAAACACTAAAAAAGCAGCCCTGTTAGACAAAAATCCAGCCAGATTGCTTTATGTATACAAATTACTCCACACTGGTACTTAGATATTCAATTATAATACTCCCCTAGGTTAGAAACATCTGGACTGGATATGCTCTTAGCATTGAGTTGCATAACATCATCATCCTGTTTTTGAGTTCAGCAGCTGCAGATTAAGGGAAGGGGATTCTCTTTGTTTTAAAAATCGGTTAGGTGTTTTCTGTTGAGCTACTCAGCTGCCGTATGAGTTGATGCAATGCGTTGTGAAGGGAAGCAATGAAGACAAACTAACTTGAGAGAGATACAGCACAGTGATTCAAATGGCTTAAAGCCCAGGGGTTCACTGACATAGTCACTCATCTTTCATGTTCTCATTACAAATCAGGGCCTTATGTTCTCTAAAGAGAGTCATTCAGCTATGGACCAAACATCATCAATGAATGCGGAATCCACCTCGCCATATTTAGGCTGGCCATGTGTCCTAACTTACAGAGGCTTGTCCTCTCTTTGGAGTCATCCTCTGTTGGGCTGTCCAGTCCAAGCCATGAGAAAGGAAAGGGGGCCTAGAAGTTGCTCATCAGCAAACAACACCTGAACCAGCAGGCAAACAAGCCAGCTTCCCAGCATGATGTTTATTGCACTATATTTTTGAATGTGCATGGCTGTCTGTCTGTGTAGCTATCTAAGCACATGAAAATGTTATTCAGGTTGTATCCTTGCTTGTTCTTTCTTTAGTGATGCATTTCCCCTCTTTCACAATGTGTTAGTAGGAGCCAGTCATAATGAGTTTGTGTTTGTGTGTGTATGCATGGCAGAGTAACCATTTTTGTGTACAACTGATGATTTAAAGTTTGCTGGATCCATGCAAACACAAAAAGAAAAAGCAAACTTTCTTGTACTAATACGCTCAAGTATTAATATGTCTGATTTTAAAAAAATGATATCCATGTTGGTGTGTGTGTGTGAGCAGGACTTATGGTAGGTTGGGAAAGAGAGCACCTTTCTCTTTATGCTGCATTTCTATTCTGAAAGAAATTGTCTTCCATTAATCTGCTACTCCACTTTCCATCTGCACCCCATCTCAGAAGGGCAGCTGCCATTGACACCAGAAGTTTTAGAAAGCAAAAAGCAAAACAGAAAAGAAAAGAAACGATGTTGTTGCGGTGTTTTAATACTAAAATCGCTGATGCGTGACAGGAAAAAGAAAAGGTATTACAATTGGACTGATTCTTTGGTTAGAGGAATATTGTCGGACAAATAGAAATTTCGTTTGCAATAAATGGCTAACATGGGGTCAAAAGTTAATGAATGTTTTAGAGAAATAATACAAACCGGGATTCAGATTTTCCTGTTGCAAGAAGAAAGCACAGGACCAGCTTGAAAATACTCTTCTTATTCCAAAAGCCATAGTATGTTTGCAAACAGAAAGAGGCAAGACTGGAGTGAGGGGATATACACCATGAGTCTGGATTAAAAGGACGAAAGGCCTTTCTATGTAGCATGCTTTATGGTGCACTTGGGCCTACGATGGCCACATGTATGGCTGGTTTCCCAAATGGTGCTTGATAATACAAGAATTCAGGCACAGTGTTCTTTGTTTTCACTGGAATGAGCGGCAGCCAGAAGCTTCCTCCTTCCACATAGTGTCATTCACTATGGGGTACATCCATGGGCATCCATCTGTGATCGGAAAGACTCCTCCCATCCATGGAAAACTTCTGACTCAGTGGCACATTTTTGTGGCAGAAGGGGAGACATGTTGCTTTCCTCCTTCCTCTGCAGTCCACCTTCCCTGAGAAAAAAACCAGTTTCAGAGGTTGGGGGACCCTTCCTAAAAGTGGGGAAGGTGACAATTGAGACTGAAAGGGAAGGGAGAAATGGGGAAGGATTGCATTTACACTAGTGGGACATTCTAGGTGGAGCTCTGTTCAGGCAGTGCTCCAGGAAGTGGTGAAGTACTCTGATCTAAGTCCATGTTTCCGAACACAGCCTCCCCTTGCCCCATCTTTCCAAGGTCTTCGTGTTCTGCTACAATGTTATAATGTAATTCCCCCTTGAATACAAATGAACCCAGAGCATTCAAAAGTCATACAGAATTCGCATGCAAAAGTGGCCTCCAATGGGAGGTGGGAAGGGTTTGGAAGTCCATAATTTGAGGTGCTATAGATGGTATTGAACAAACTACTGCTCAGATCATGGGAGAAAAGCTATGTAGGCTCTTCATGAAATGCACAGCTTCCAACTCTGGACTCTCTCCAGTGTTAGACTCTCCATGGCCCCCGGCACTTCTAAGAGCATTAGGCAAGGGGGCCACATTTAAGGTTAAGAAGGGCATGGCTCCTCCGGTTCCCCTACAGTCTGATCACTGGAATAAACTGCTATTATTACTATTGCAACAAACATGGTGAGAGGCAGCTGTCAAACACAGAGCAAGGCACCACACACAGCTGGTGAATTGTGTCTATCTGGTTACAAGTCGTTAAGATTTGTTTAGACCCAAGGCCTGTAAATGGATAGCAATATCTTGGACTAAGAGCATGCCTGCAAAATGTATAGACTCTGGGCTGGTCCTATGTATTCTGGCTGAAAGGCTTCCTCTGCACCGTGCCTCTAACATCCATATCCCTTTTCAGTGGATATGGAAGGAAAGGCGCCCACTGCCAATATGCATGATAGGACTTGTGTTTCTCTGCACAGATCTTGCCTCTGTTGGTCATCCTGCAGGGCTGTGACAGAAATGCAAGCTGCCAATGTGGGACTGGAACCACCCTGGGAATTAAGCAAGTGAAGCCACACAGTTATAAAGTCTGGGAAGGGCAGTGGAGGGAGCTGTATGCTTAAGGACACTTGATATGGAATAGAAAGAAAGAAAGAAAGAAAGAAAGAAAGAAAGAAAGAAAGAAAGAAAGAAAGTTCCTAAGCAAACCAATCTAGTATCCCAGAATAGAAGCCTTACAACATCATGAGAAATACTCAGAAATAAAATTCTTCATTTTAAAACTTTTCTTCAGCATTTTTCTATAGGTTTTTTTCTGTGAAATTCTTTGCAGTGAAAAAAGAAAAGAGAAGAGAAGAGGAAAAGAAAAGAGGAAAAGAAAACCTCAGAACATTCTTCGAGAACAAACATGTATATCCAAACTGACAAGCTTATGCATGTTGAGAAAAAGAAGATATCTGAACTACAACAAAGTAGTTTTTGTGCCAGGAACCTCTGTTTTATGCACCTCAACACTTGTTTTGATGCCATTTAAAATTCACTTTTTGGTATCACATCAGTGCAGGACGGATTGACAAGTCTATGAGGAACCTTTCAATGGGTACCTGCTATTTTTGCCAAATGTCAAGGTTTGACATTTGATGTTATTATCTGCTATCAGTTAATCGCTCATCCTGAGATGTTTTGTTTCTCCTGATCTGATATTGAACTGAGCTGGGCTGCTAATCAAATAAACAGCCACAGATCTAGCATTCCGTTCTTCTTGGGACAAACAGCAATATTTCAATTAGTCCTCTTGTTCTTTTTTGTGCTATCTCCATATCCTGGTGGCTTTTTGATGTCGTGTCCGATTGATTCCCTTGGGAAGGAGAGAATGACTAAGTGTCTCTCAGTGGGACTGCATTTGCTCTCAGATGAAATATTCTTTCCGGCTCTCATCCATGGCGCCTTGAATGGCGGGGTCATTTTTCAAAGCGGCATCTGCGCTTTCGGCAAATTCAGTTCCCTTTGCTTCATTGGTGTGGTAGGTGCCCTTGTGCCGGTACATGTATCTCAGCATCACCACCAGGAGGCAAAGCAAGACAAAAGCCACTGCTGCAATGACACCTGTGAGGAGGAAGAAACATTTGCATTTCTCTTTTCATTAATAATTTCAAATAGCTGGTGTGTTTTGTTTTTGTTTGTGCTTTAGTGGGCTAAGTGCTTTCTCTTGGATCCTTCAAAGAGAAAGCCTGCATGGATAACAGGAAGGGGCTTTGACATCATGGTGATGAAGGCTGCATTGAGAGAAATGAGAGATACAAAGACAAGCAAACAAAAGTGAACGACTCAGATCCTCTATGTCTAAGTTTCCAGTAACTTGTAGGCAACTAAGTTAGGAACAGCTGTTTGAGAGATTCATATCCCATCAACACTAAGCACTTCCGGCTTTCCCTCTGCAAATGGGACTCGGACTCTTGGTGCTGGCCACAGATCTGTATGCAGACCTTATGCTACTTAATACTTATTCCATCCTTGCTTGACAGGCTTATCTGTCGTTCTTAACAGAATGAGCAGGAGCTTGTGAAGTTGGACAGATGGAAGTTAGAGGCCGTGCTGGAAGCTAACAGGCCACCATTGGAGGCACTGGATGGTTAAAGCAGCACAGGACGTTCCATTCCCTACCCCTCCTGCGAATTGACTCTCCCCATTCAGTGCATGGTTGCTCCCTGTCATTCAGCAATGGGGGTCTGTTACTACTGTCTTCCGAACCACTCTGAATACAAATCCAGTGCATGCATTAAATTCACGATTTGTTTTGTGGTTCTGGATCTGAACTCGGATAGATCTGCTTTTGAGCTTGGCTTAAGTATAATGATCTAGCTCTAAATATTTGGCTCTTTTTCTGAGATCTTGAAGCAAGATCGCAATTGTTATCAAATAGGTCTGGAAAACATTTTACCTGTGTGAAGTTTATTTTAATCTAAAGCTTTAACAAACTTCAGAGCTTTAAGCTGCCTGATTCCAGAAACAGAGTTACTGGTATGGAAAAGGAAATTGCCCCTGTAAAGAAGTTGCATCTATCATAATACTGTGACCTCAATAGGGGATTCATCTATTTTAAAGGACCACAGTGGACTCCTGAAACACAATAGGCTTTAATGCTCTTTAGTTGTTGTACTGTGTTAATAAGCCTCAGGGACTCAGCACAATTCAATTTTCCTCCTAGTTACTTGTAGGAAACTGAAATTAAAGTCACAGGAGATGGAACCAAAGGGAAATACAGGGGAGCTTCACTAATTTGCACTAATGACAGGGTAACCACCTGGTGACTTGCTGAAATTAGCTAGAATAGTATGGAACTTGAGCAAACACAATAGAAATGTTTTAAAAGCCCAAATAATACATTTTAGCATTTAAGAAGCTTCTTTTGGGAAGAATAGTAATTTAGGCGAGCAACCTGAATTAGCATGACAACATGCTAATGGAACTGTAGTTAAATTGCTGTTGAAAATTTATGTCATGGTAGATTTCATCAGAGGAGAATTTCAGTGAAAGACCAGTTGATCATCTGATCTACCCTTGTGCATGTCTCTTGTATGCACTGCACCTAAGTTTGTGGAGAGATGGAGGTTGACGTGGGGGAAAGAGAACTTGCATTGCCAGGCTCTGGGTTTTTGTCATCTGGAGCCCCATGGAATCAGGGGCATGGTCCTGAGCTCTCATGACTCTCACAAGGAGAGGTGGGAAATGGCCCCATTCCCTATCTTGCCTGATCATCAGTCAGGCCAGGCATCAGAACCTACTGCCTACCCACCCACTTTTCTGATGAAGTCCGCTTGGCGACTGCTGGGCCAGGGAGAAGATCAACCCTGCTTTGCCACGAGGCTGTGACATTTTGTGTTTCTCCTGAGCTAGCACCGCCACCTACAGCTTGCCCCAGAGAGGAACAGTATCACCAAACAAGGGGTGACCCAAATGCTTAGCAGGTGTGCATGCTTATGTATGCCTATAGGTGAAAATCTAGAAATAATAACAGTGACTTAAACAGAAGAGCAATGCACTCACCACAGTGGGCCAGGCTATGGCCAAGTGGCTTCCATGTCTGCTCAGTCTGCTGTCTAGGTGTGGTTAATGGGCAAGGTCCCTGCTGCCACTCTCCCTCCTTATGGTTCTTGGACATTAAAGGAGGGTTGGACTAGACAGTCCATCAAATACAGGATGCTTCAATTAGGGGACCATCCTCTGCCATCTTTCCAACATACAGGACTGATTTTTGCTGTGTATGGGGAAATTCGAAGGTTTCATCCTTAGCATCAGCCGGGAAAGATCCATCCTTGCAACCCTGCAAAGCTTCGGATAGTGCAAATAAAACAACTAAGGGTCCAGCTTTCTATGTCTCTGGATATGCCCTAGTTGTCTTTATTTATTCAGATAATTCTATTGGCAGAGAAATCAATGTGGTTCTTGATAAAACACCAGCAGAAAGTGCCTGGAAGGACTACCTGGGCCAGGATGCTGAACAGGCTTTCCAAGCTCAGACCCAAAGATGGCCTATCTGAATTCAAAGTAAGGGCAATCTTTATAAGATCCGAAATTCTTCTCTGGTTCAGACTGAAATCCAACGTTGAGAAGAATTCTTAGCTTCCATTTGGGGATGCTGGAGTTGCATTCAACCTGATTTTTTTTTTTTTTGGGTGAACCAACCTAGGACTAATGTGTCCATCAAAACTCAATGACCCTTTGGATTATACACTTCTTCATTTTTGCAATGTGGTTTGCAGGTTTAAAAAGATACAAAAACATGCATTCTAGGAGCAAATTCATACAATTTAATTGTGCATGTTCTTGTAGTAAAACCAAAACAAAAATTTTAAAAAACCCAGAAAATGGGATAAAATGGATCCATGAGTAAATTCATGAGTAAATGGATCACAACTGATATGAACTGGAAATAGAACAAATCATCCATTTCTACTTCTGTTCCACACTTCCAAAACTCTACCACCCTCCTTTTACAGCTTTACCCCTGCTCCTTTTCTGATGCCCTGGATATACCACCTCTGGGACAAACTGCATCTCCATCTGGTGCTACTCCCCCCTCCACCCCCATTCCACTGCTGTGCATGAGGCTTAAGGGGAAGAGGGAAAGATATGTGAGGCTGGCAGGGTGTTCTGAAGCTTGACAAGGAGTAGCAAAGAAGGTAGTAGGGTTACGTGCTCAGAAAGTAACCTGAATTATTTCCAGTTTCCTGGCAAAAGATCCCCTGCATAATACCTTTTGCCCTTTTCTAGGCTGCAATTAGAGATTGCAGGTTACTCACAAGGCTCAGCAGCACACCTTAAACTGCTGTCTATAGTAGTGCAAGGATGGTAGCATCAATGGGGGATTCAGGTACCTCAAGGGTGGGGAAGCTTCTGCTGCGCAACCACCTGTCCCAAAGCGGAAGGGGTCGTTTATCAGGCAAAACTTCTAGCTGAGTTCAGTTGCATCAGGGAGACATCTTGGCCAGTAGTTTTGGTCAGTCTCCCCAGACATCACAACAGGATGGACCATGCCAAACACCTTTGAACTGAATAGTTAGTATATTTTTTTCTGTTTCCTTAAGGTTGCTATATCCCATTTAGTCACAGCTATGGGTTCTGCCTCTTCATCCTCTTTCACCCGCACATTTATTGTTGTCCGTATCTGCTCCTGTGTCTGGTAACAGCTTTATGTCTGATCTTCACCTTTCATATCCATATAGGGTTGGAGTAGAGAGGATGGGGACTAGTAATGTCTTCCCGGATACAGTGAATAGCCGTAGCCTTTAGCACTTTGACTGTGGCCTCCAGATGGAGTACGTAGCCTAGACCTTCATTCTCCCTGTGACTCATTTCTTCAACTTTATTCAGAATTGCTAAATTTACAAGATCTTTCTATAACTTGCAACCTGGAAATGTCCTGGCTATTTCTACAGGGTACTCACACGATGCAAAAGGGCAGAAATAATCATTGTACCAGTTCTTTCCCATGTCCACAGCTTCTCCCTCTCAATCTCCCTCTTCACATTCTGGGGTTAAATGTGATATGAATGGGTCTGCATTGAGTCTGGTCCTGAACTTGCTCAGTGGAATTGGAATTCATCACCCTCCCATTGAGATACCTTGAAGCATGTCTGTTTATATTGGGGTAGACAATCTCTGTCTCTCCAATTGCTGCTGGCCTGTAGCTCCCATCAGCCCTGGAGAGCATTGCCAGTGGTGAATGATGATGGGAGCCGCAGTCCAACAGCATTGGGAGGGGGAGGCACAAGCAGTTCGGCCTGAATGTATATAGATACATTTCAAATGTGGAGTGCACATTTTCTTTTGCCCTCCCTTTGCTATCCTACACTCCCCAGGGGAGCTCTTATTGCTTGTCTTGCAGAGAATATAACAGTTTCTTTCTTTCTTAGATTTATATCCCACATTTTTTCTTACAAAGAACTGAGAGCAGTTTACATCATTCTCCCCCTCCTGCTCTCAATCTTATTCCCACAACAACAACCCTGTGAGGTAGGTTGGGCTGAGAGTCTGTGACTGGCCCGAAGTCATCCAGTTGGCTCCATGACTGAGCAGATCGCCTCAGTCCCATTTTCAAGCTCTTAGCCTGTACACCATACTGGCTCTCCAGTGATTACTTTGCAAGCTTGGTATAAATGGCTTCTCTGATTTCTCCGGACAATTGGCCTGTTCTGTCTCTTGCATTCAAGCCTGCCCAGGCTTTAAGAGTTTTGGAACAGTACCTTCTTCAATAGTAGTTGTCTCTGAGACACACATGGTGCTAATGCAAGAGGGGGCCTTTCCAGGGACTGCTCCCAGCTTGTGGAATTCCCTGCAAGAGGAGGCTGGATCGGCTCCCTCTTTGCTGCCTTTCCGCCTTCAGGCTGAGATATTTAGGCCTTTGGAGTGTCAGCTGTAGGACTGAGGGCTGTTTTCATTTCGGCACTGCTGTGTTTTTAAAACGTTTCTTTTGATCAAATTTGATTCTAAAGACATTTTGATTACTATGAGTGTAAGCCACTATCTTGGTAGAAAGGTGGGATACAAGTCAAATCAATCAATAAAACAATACACAGTTAGGTTTCCAATGTCTCACACGATAAAGGGGAGTGCAGGAACGTGCAGACTTTCCTACATCCCATCCGCTCTTGTGTGTATTTGTTGCTACACTCTGCTGTCTTCTAAGCATTGGAGGAAGAAGTTTGAAGAACCGGGGATTCTGCACAGATGCAGGGTTCTAAAAGATCCTTTTTGTGTTTCCTCAAGAAAGTGCTATAAAATAGTCTTTGTTCTAAGAACATCATATTCTTACCTCCAATGATTCCAATATCAGCTGCTGTTGGAGAGCTTCCAATATTTGCAGCTAGAAATAGAATATACAAAATATAATTAGACAGGAGATAGAGAACCACACTGGATGGAGCAATGCCTTTTTTAACCCTTCCCTTGAAGCAAAAGAAGTGCGAAGGATCTGAACTGCAAATGGCAGCCATAAAAATGCCTAATTTAAAAGATAGACATCTGACAACATTACGTTATATGCATAAAAATAAATCACCAGCATGCTCCCATCATAGTCCTGCAACACATTTAAAAAAAGAAATATTACAAATGTTTCCCTGCAACATCTCTATGTGAAAACTCACAGGAACATAATTCACGGGAATGTTGGAAGCTGCCTCCAGCTGAGACGGACTGTTGGCTGGTCTAGCCCAGTCTTGCTGGCCTTGCCTGGCAGTGGCTTGCCAGAATTCTGGGCAGGCATGTTTTCAGCCTGTATGGGGATCCCACACATTGAACTGGAGCGGGGGGGGGGGGGGGGCTTCAGCATGAAAGCATGCGCTCTGCTACTGAACCACATCTTTCCCAGCCAGCCCCTTCTTTTCTCCCAAAAACAAGAGATCCATTTTTTTTAAAAAAGTGTACTCTTGAATCCGAATAGCAAAGCAAGAAAAATTGCTGAAACACTTGTTCCGACAGCAGCAAAGTTACCTATGGCACGGTTTGGTGGTGGGTAAAGGGAATGTATGGACTTATTGCAATCAGGAACACAAAGGTGAGTTGTGATAACTGTTTGCTAGTTGTGCTAGCAGCCTTGTTGTGATAGATGACAGAAGAATTAAAGGCCCTCCAGCAGTAAGTATCCTCTGATCACCTTCTTCTTTTCTGGAATGTGTGCCCCATTTCTGGTTGAGTCACACAGCAAGACGCATGCTGTAGAAGCCCTCCATGTACACTAGTTGAAAGTAGGGGTGCCTCTGGGAGAAAAGAAAGGATGCTCCAATGGTGAACGTGAACAGGATGCCCTTTTGGGCATTCCCTTCACACATAGCTACACCTGTGTAGGATCACATGTCTGTAGCTGTACGTGCATAGGGCTATTGGCCAGGTTCCCAATCAGGTGGAGAAGCTGTTTGCACACACAGAGCCTCTTCCTCTCTGATGGCGACAAGTAAGCTCCAGGGAGGCTCTTGTGTCTCATCATTTAGGGTGTGGACAGCAGGCACAGTCCTGCTCTTCCATGTCTAGTCTGAACACTCTAGAAACACAGCCTAACCATTGTATGCTTAATGCAACCTGTTCCTAGGTAAGTGCATGCAGGAAAGCAGCTGTGGTTACTTGCCTGAAAAATATTCCAGAAAATGGATAATTGCCTTTGAATGGTCTGCTCTCATATATTTGTTTCCTATTGCATCAGGAAAAATGTACTGGAGTGTTGAAATGGGCACCCTGGAATGGATGGCTGGGATCTTAGTTGCTGAGATGCTGAAAGGATGCTGAGGTGTGTCAGTGGGTAAAACAGCTTTGAATTCCCCCCTCCTAATCTCTTTTTCCCCCAGCTCTTCTCTTGCAGCAGCAGCTGACTCCGGGTTGGCAGCTATTCGATAAACAGTATGCTGTGTCCAATGCCAGCCTGCCTGTGATCACTGCTTACTCCGCCCAGATAGGAAACTTGTGCAATCAAAGAGGAGATTTGCACAACCTTGCACAGATCTTCCTCCATAAACTGAAGTGGGGATGATTAATTCTATTGAGAAAATTTGCACAAATTAGAACATTTGTGCAAATCATACTGGGAACTGAAAATTAAATGAAGGCAAGCAAGCATTTGAAAAATTGTGACTGTTTTCAGCTCGTACGCTTGCACTTGTGCACATGTCTATAACTACACTTGGGGCCCAATTCAAGGTGCTTGTATTGACATATAAAGCCCTAAACAGCTTGGGACTCAGCTATCTAAAAGACCTTCTGCACCCATATATACCTGTACCTACGGCCCCCTTAGATCGCCCAGGGGCCCCTTCTATGAGAACCACCCCTCAGGGAGATGAGAGGGGTGGCAGCTAGGCGAAGGGCCTTTTCTGCTGCTGCTCCCCATCTCTGGAACTCCCCTGCTCCCAGCCAGGGAAATTCGCCTGGTGCCGTTATTTTCTTTTTGGCACCAGGTGAAGGCATATCTTTTTAGGATGTTTTTTAACATTTAACCTGCATGCTGTGGCCCTTTTTAATTGTTTTTATAGATGTTTAATTCAATATGTTTTGACTGGTTTTAATGTGTTTTACTCTGTTAATATATTTTATTTATTTATATTTATTATTTATTAAAACATTTCTATGCCACCCCTTGCCGAAGCCTCTGGGCGGCTCACAACACAAAATCAAATACAATAAAATACAAAAATGTTATGCATTGTAAGCCACCTAGGAAGGCTTCAGCAATTATAGCCGGCCTAAAAATACATGTAAATAAATAAATAATTTATGTCTGGAGCTTTGAAAAGAGCACACACAGATTTTGGGAACAGAAACAAAATTCCCATACTTCTCTAGGTTTGCTGCTGCTATTGCCTCAATGGGATATTTCTCTATTTCTCTGCTGCAGTAAACAGAATGTGCATCACAAAGCCACTCACTTTTCTTTCAAATCTGATTCATCTTTTAAGAAAAAAACAGACTAATGAATGACATTTGAAAAGTGTGTTTTCTGAGGATCCAAGCTGAGTGGACTAAAAGTGTTTCCTCTTTTTTTTTTGCCAGCATGGTAGAGACAAGCTGCTAGAAACAGCCGAGCAACCTGTTTCGCCCCCAACAGCTGGCCAATGTCAAGAGAAGCCTCTTCTTACCCACCTGTACTCAGAACCTAAATGGACAGATGGGGTGTGCATGAACAGGAAAATGATACCTGCTTCTTTTCACACATGCAAGTGCATGTTTGTGCAAATGGATGGATGCTGTGAGCATGAGGGGGAGCGAGAGAGAGACTGTGAAGGGACAGGTGTGGGAGAATGAATATTCTGCATCTACCTGGGGGGTGATGGATGGGTGGTTTGGATGAATGGGTGCAGGAGAGAGTTTTGTTTTATACCCTTGCAGACCCAGGGATAATCCATCTTGGCTCTATTTTCCCCTTTGCCTCTATGTGGTGTATACAGTGGTACCTTGGCTCAC